CTTTCAAGAATAAGGGGACTGTCATCCATTTCTGTCACTGTAAAGTCAACTTTGATTAGTACCTAACCTGCTCCTGCTTTCACAGCCTTACAGTCTAACTCCAAGTTAATGTGCTAAGGAAAATGGCACCCAGACAGTGATATTTTTCAAGTGGCGTCTTAGCTAAAGGATGAGACTGTGGAGGAACTACCGAAGTTTCAAAGGGACATTGTTTTAGTGGATGATGGGGTAACAGGTTTAACACTATTAATCGGTTGTCTCTGAGACTTCTGAGATTTTCATTTTATCATTTTCTGTACCCCTTTAATAAGTACACCCCCCCCACACACACACAATGGGGTGTTCCTACCTTTCTCTCATCTTCTTAATGCTTTTGTCCCTCTGCCTCTTACTCCCATTCATTCTCATTTCCTACAGTAATTCAGATCCACCTTCGAAAGAGACACTGGATAAAACAAGGAGAGGAAAGAGGGTAAAATTTCATATGTATCCCAGATTGTGTTTTGTTGTGTTTTGGATTTTTTGGGGAGGCGGGGAAGCATTAGAACTTACTGAGATTGAGAGAAAAGCCTTGATAAACAGATCCTTGGTTTAAAACCTTAAGCATAACAAAGTAGGTGTTAAAAGGTACAATTAAAGTCGACATAGGCACGTAGTATGATTTGGAGGGAGACTGTTGGGATTTAGAAAATCTCTGGAAATATAAGCTATGCTACTTAGTATTACTTAGTTAAAAAAAATTTTTTTTAGGTGCATTTCTTAACTCTCTTAACCTTCATTTCTTAATCTGTAAAATGGTTACTGTTAATACCGAGGTTTAATTTGAAATAGTGTTCATTCAACTTTTAGTTTTAAAATAGCCCAGTATTTGGAGTTTGATAAGGCATGTCATTCAGCATCTTTAAACATTATGCTTCTGTTAGGTATCTGTTTAATATGTGTGTTTATCACACACACACACACACACACACACACACACACACAGAGTTGACCCTTGAACAGTGTGGGTTGGAACTGTGCAAGTCCACTGATTTGTGGAATCTTTTTCAATAAATATGTACTGCAGTACTTTACTTGCTTAACTGAGGCAATAGTGGGTGGCAGTTAGTTAAGGATGCCCGTTTAGGCATATTGAAACAAGATCTGAAATTCAGTTGAACTCCTGGTTGGAAAAATATATTTAGTAGGTCAATGATAGTAGTTGAAACTGGACTGAGAATGACTTTTCTAGAGAAAGGAAAGAAGGGTTTAAGAATGAAGCCCTGGGGATTATGTACAGGGGGAAAGCCGTCAGGAGAAAACAGTTACAGGAAATAATAGTGAAAGAGTGCCCGTTCACACATTTGTTATTTTTCTGTGCAAACCTAATCCTCATCCAGGACAGAACGATGTCATTGAAAGTACAGCTGTAGTTATTGCCAAATTGAGTAAATTCTAGTTTTTATATTTAAGTATGTATATATTCTCTCCTCCAACATATTTTCTTTTTCAGTCTTTTGATTCTAAGTTCATTTGGTATATCTTATCTGGAATAAAGAATTTTTCTAGCAGTAAGAGATGCCCTTAATATCGTCAGATGGTAGATTGTGATTTTGCTTTTTCTTTACCAGAATAATTACCACTGGGAAGGGGGCCTTACAAGAAAATCACCTTGTTTATGATTCTCATTTAATTAGCCTTGCCTGGAGTATTTGAAGATGACAGTCATAAAAATTGGTGTGCTTATCCAGAAGTTTTCACGGGAAAACTATCTCTAATATAAAATTAAATTTTATAGATTTCTCTTTATTTCAGAAAGGCTAGTTTAGCATTTATTTATTATCTGATGTTTATATATTATTTGGTACTTCTGGAGAAATAAAAAAATAGGGAATTAGTAGATCTGATTTTTTTTTTATATTCTAAGAGGAAAAATCAACTCCTGTGTATATGTGGACGTTTGCAAATGCCCTATTGATCTTACACTGTTGGAGAATAAACTCTTTCCCTACAGATATGTTATTGGATAGCCAAACCTACTACTTTAAATGTCAGGGGGAAAAAGGGGAACCATTTTACTTTACAGGGGACTCTTTCCTGTCATTGATTGATTGATTGCTATGTGGCTTGCGGGATCTTAGTTCCCCGACCAGGGGTCAAACGCATGCCTCCTGCAGTGGAAGCACAGAGTCCCAACCACTGGACCACCAGGGAAGTCCCTCCTGTCTTTTATATATTTATTTATTTATTTTGCGGTATGCGGGCCTCTCACTGTTGTGGCCTCTCCCGCTGCGGAGCACAGGCTCCGGACGCGCAGGCTCAGCGGCCATGGCTCACGGGCCCAGCCGCTCCGCGGCATGTGGGATCTTCCCGGACCGGGGCACGAACCCATGTCCCCTGCATCAGCAGGTGGACTCTCAACCACTGTGCCACCAGGGAAGCCCCCTCCTGTCTTTTAAAACAGTGGATATGATATGAACTTCAGTACTGACCTTTTATTGGCGTACTTTGTGCTCCTAGGCTGTGTAGGTTTACTGTTAATGCTTTTGACTTTTTATCAGCTTTTTTGTTTTGTCTTTTTCCTTGATATTAACAGATGGGGAAAAAAAAGAGAAAAGTAGATGTTTTAAATTTAAAATCATAGTCAGGGAGGAGATACCAACCTATTGGTCTCTGCCTGGCCTATAGTAATGCATTGGTGGCCTTTCAGGCCAGGAGGGCTGTTGGAGATGCAGAGCCTCTGCTTTGTGGCTGGCGTCTTTACCTGTTTCCTGGGTATTGTTAAATGTGAATCCCAACGGAACAGTCTGAAAAAGGCGAACAGCCACTACAGCAGTATCCCTGGGCACCAAGGATGGTCAGCCGCTTATCCTCCCGTGGAAACTGGGGGGGACCACTGGGCAGAGAAGAGGTTGTGCCCTTTCACTCCCTGGCAATAAACTGGTCTCTGGAGATGACTAAAATTATAGTAGATAACAAATCTAGACAGGTGTTACTTGAAGATACCAGCACCGGTCAGCTGAGGGTTGTTAAGCACACTTTGTCTTTTAGAAACTGGTGATGTCATTTACTTGTACAGGAAGACTGAGTTGGAATACAGTGTCGCATACCTCTACAAATTTTTACAGGAAAACCAGGGCATAACGCAAAAATCTTTTGAAGGTGATAAAGAAAATGTATTCTACGTCATCAAACTGAAGCTACCTCAGTTCAGGACAAGGTGACAGCTCCCATGGTACCACTTCTTCTGTAGGGCGAGAGCATTCCTCCAGTTCCAGATTAGGGGCTGTGGGCATCCCCCCTGAAAGAATGTGGTCCAGTTGCGGCCAATGATGCTCTCTACCTTTGCTTCATGTCTTCCAGACAGAGAGGGGAATCATTTTCTTTCTTAGAACCCTAGGTTCATGAGGATTTCGAGCCCTTTCATTAAAAAGAAAATGAAAGGCGATGGGGAGCCTGATATGAGCCTGTCGTTAGTTGTTGGTTGCACACCAGTGTAGAAACACGCAAACTTTACATGAGGATATCAGGGCTGTGGCCATGAAGCCAGACAAGATGGATATGCCCATTGGCATCATCTCTTAGGAGTTGCTGCATGACTGTGAGATTGCAGCCCTGGAGTGTTTTTATTGTCTGGTCATAGAATCACTGAAAACACCATGTTGTGTTACGGTTGTGGCCTGGGCATTTTCCTGAAAGCTGACATGCCATAACTGCTTCCCAGTTGCCAGTGGCTATAACATCCCATCCTGATTTCTACTGGGTCCACAACTGCCCTAGTAATGCAGTGCAATTTCATGCAATGAAGTCAATCATAGAACAGACAGTGGTCAAGAACTAAGTGTCAGGGGAGGCACAGATGTGGCTTCGGAGTATTGGAGGTCAATGACAGGTTGCTTCAAAACCTACCCAATTGTAAACATTTTAAGGGCATTTTTATAGTTCCCCTCTCGAGGGAAACTGGACATCTCTACATTAGATGCTCTGGTGTGACTTGTGGAGCTTTTCCTTCTGAGTGAGACCCCTTCCATTCGCCTGGAAGGCCACATCCCATGTTCCTCATGTGTAAATTGAGCTCCAGTCCCCTGATGCCTTTGAGACTGTGGGTCCCCAGGCAGGTGGGTGAGTGTGGTAGGCAGGACAGGTCAAGGTCTTGAGGGAGGGGGTGGTGTGTGTGTGCGTGTGTATGTGTGTGGTAGTGCCTCTGTCCCATGATGTTCTGCTCTTACTGTGTGCATCTGTGGAGCAGGCCCTTCTGGCTGAGACTGTGGAAAGCACGTGAACGGTGCATAAGGGACCAGTTCCGGCTGCTGTGATGCTGGAAGCCGTCCATCTGTATGGCCATTGCTTCCTCTATTCCTTGCCCTTGTCCTGTCCTTCTGTGTTAGGTTTGCCATGTCATCTGGGATAATACTAGAAATCACCTATTATGCTTGTTAGTAAAACTTGTAACTTTTTTCTTCTCATGAAAATGACTTTCAGTTGTCTTGCTCATGATATAAACTCTGAGAAGCAGAACTCTTGGTGGCATTCTAGTAAACAAGCTGTGTTTGTTTAAGAAGAATTCTGTTTAAAAATAGAATAAAAACAGTGAGTAAGAGCATGCTGTCTCCTGACTGAAAAACAAATTTTAGTGAATGAACTTTGGCATTTATTTAAATAACTTTGGCAGTTATTCAAATTTTTCCCCCCACATTCTCAAATTACTTATTTTGACTAAAGTTGCTATGTGAATGACATCATTGTTGATGCTCATCTAGTAATATGTGCTACCATCTGATTTTTAAGCATACCTATAAATATGTTTATAAGAAACTATACATATATGAAATAAAGGAAGATAATTGAACAGTAGCTATAGATACATGAATATACATAATTTGTTCGAGTTTGTAGTGATGGAAAAGACAGGGTATAGTTCCTGTTTTTCATAGCTAGTATATAATCATGGTGTGATTTGTGTGAAAGCAAAAAATTGAGTAGTTTCTCGATTTACTTTGTATGTATATCTTCTCTTCCAGCTAGAAGGAGTCTATATTCAGGAGGAAGTAATCCCAGAAAAGGAAGAACAGGCAGAGCAAGATGTGTAGCTCTGTGGCCGCCAAGTTGTGGTTTTTGACAGATCGTCGAATCAGGGAAGACTATCCCCAAAAAGAGATCTTGCGAGCATTAAAGGCCAAATGTTGTGAGGAGGAACTGGACTTTAGGGCTGTGGTGATGGATGAGGTGGTGCTAACAGTCGAGCAAGGAAACCTGGGTAAGTCTACAGTTAAGTAACTTCTTTGCATTTTTACTTAGAATTTGGTGACTCTGCGTATTTTAGGAATAATTAGGGCAAAGGATTTGTTAATAGCCTTATTATTACTAAGTATCATCTAGTCTAAAAATCTAGTATATTTTATGGAAGAAATGGCAACACCGGTATTTGTTAAATCCCTTATTGTATTATTTAGGAAATAGTTGGGAGGGAAATTAAAGATAACCTACTAGTTTTCTTCCATTATTGTTTTCTATTTTTAAAATGCCTTGTTTATAAGGTGCCTCTATGGGGGAATTTGTACCCCATCAGGGTCCTTTTAGTAAATTGATCAAAATCCATATGTAATTCTCATTTTCTTTTTTCTTTATAAGATGCTTTATATGTGTGGTGTTAAATACAGCTTTTCTTTCTGGATAAAAGTGTCCAAATTTAATTGGTGATAAGTATTTTTAATATTTTCAGTAGTTCATATTGTTTTCAGATTACTAGGGGAAGATATTTTGGAAATGTGTAGAAATTCTTTAGGACTGACTTGCAGGAATCTTTAAGCTCTGTAAAAGGATTTGTTACAGTTAAATTGGTCCTTTCTATTAGGGAGAGGTGGTTATTGTGAGAATTAATAATGCAGAGTACAGATCTGCTTTTAAGGTAATTTCACTCATGGGCTTATTTCAGCTTTTCTGTCTCTGTCTCTTTTGACCTAATGCATCCTTAAGAGCCATTTATGCCACAAAATTCTGTTGCTTTTTTCCCCCCAAGCCACAGCTATTCTGACTTCTACTTCTTACTGTCCTGGGTCAGGATCTTAGGGCCCCAAATTTTAATGCTGCAGCAGCCCTCTATGTCTTTTTCAAAAGTCTTTCCTTTCTAGCCCTTTCTCATTCATTAAACACTACTTTTATCATCTTAACATGATAAAACCTTCAGAAACTCTCTACTTCCCTATAACATTAAATCTAATCTTATTTTAAAGACTTTTCATTGATGCATGTCCCATAAATCCAGGAGTTTCTAGGTTTTTTTTTTTACATTTCACATATTTTGAATTATTTAAATCTCATACCATCTTGTAAGGAAGGTAATATTATCATTTTACAGGTGAGGAAACAGACTCTTGAAGAATTAAGTGGATAAATTAGAGTAAAATTCCTCTTCTCACATATTGTTAACTCTGCTGTAAATGCTGCAGAGAGACCATTTGTCCAACCTTGTCTATTATTAGTCTGTATTGTTTGCCTTGGGTCAGTATGTTCACTATGAAAGCTCAATGTCATTTATGCTCATTGCTGTTTCTTTGTCTTTGCTCATATATTTCAGTACACCTTAATATTTCTGGACCACAGTTAACTGTGGTAACTGTGGATAAGGGGACTGCTGCATTCTCCTATAATATTTTTTATTTCTGTAGAATCGGTAGTAATGTTCCCTCCCCCTTTGATTTCTGAGTTTAGTAACTTGAGTCTTCCCTCTTTTTCTTAGTCCATCTAGATAAAGTTTTGCTGATTTTATTGATGTCTCCTGTATTAGTGTCTTCTTTTGTGTTTGGTTGACGTTTTTGTAGAAATCTTTACATTCCTTTTATTTCCTTTTGTGTATATTTCATTTGCTTTTTGCATTTACCACGGGGATTACATTTAACATCCTTATGTTATACTACTCTAATTTGAATTTATACCAGCCAAACTTCAGTAACATACAAACACTCTGCTCCTTTACCACTCTGTCTCCACCCCTTTCATTTGTTGATGTCACAAAATTACACCTTTATTCATTTTGTGGCCAAAAATATAAACTGATAATCCTTTTAAATGCACCAGTCTCTTAAGTTATATAGAAAACAAGAGTTGGAGTTACAAACGAAAGTTATAGCAATACTAGCTTTTATACTAATGATCGTTTATTTTTTCTTGAATTATATTGATCTCTAAATTCTGAAGTACAGTTACAAACTATTGTTACAGTAATGTTAGCTTTTCTAATTGCCCATTTATTTACCTTTATTGAGATATTTATTTTTCCATATGAATTTGAGTTACTGGTAGATGTCCTTTCATTTCACCTTACAGGTTCACAAACTCCCTCAACTTTTGCTTTTCTGTGAATGTCTTAAATTCTCCCTCTTTTTTTTTTTTTAACCTCTTTATTGGAGTATAATTGCTTTACAACGGTGTGTTAGTTTCTGCTTTATAACAAAGTGGATCAGTTTTACACATACGTATGTTCCCATATCTCTTCCCTCTTGCGTCTCCCTCCCTCCCACCCTTCTATCCCACCCCTCTAGGTGGTCACAAAGCACCGAGTTGATCTCCCTGTGCTATGCAGCTGCTTCCCACTAGCTATCTCTTTTACGTTTGGTAGTGTATATATGTCCATGCCACTCTCTCACTTTGTCACAGCTTACCCTTCCCCCTCCCCATATCCTCAAGTCCATTCTCTAGTAGGTCTGTGTCTTTATTCCCGTCTTGCCCCTAGGTTCTTCATGACCTTTTTTTTTTCTTAGATTCCATATATATGTGTTAGCATACGTTATTTGTTTTTCTCTTTCTGACATACTTCACTCTGTATGACAGATTCTAGGTCCCTCCACCTCACTACAAATAACTCAATTTTGTTTCTTTTTATGGCTGAGTAATATTCCATTGTATATATGTGCCACATCTTCTTTATCCATTCATCTGTTGATGGACACTTAGGTTGCTTCCATGTCCTGGCTATTGTAAATAGAGCTGCAATGAACATTTTGGTACATGTCTCTTTTTTTTTTTTTTTTTTGGGTACGCGGGCCTCTCACTGTTGTGGCCTCTCCCGTTGCAGAACACAGGCTCCGGGCACGCAAGCCTAGCGGCCATGGCTCACAGGCCTAGCCTCTCCGCGGCATGTGGGATCTTCCCAGACTGGGGCATGAACCCGCGTCCCCTGCATCGGCAGGCGGACTCTCAACCACTGCGCCACCAGGGAAGCCCCATGTCTCTTCTTGAATTATGGTTTTCTCAGGGTATATGGCCAGTAGTGGGATTGCTGGGTCGTATGGTAGTTCTATTTTCAGTTTTTTAAGGAACCTCCATACTGTTCTCCATAGTGGCTGTACCGATTCACATTCCCACCAACAGTGCAGGAGGAGTTCCCCTTTCTCCACACCCTCTCCAGCATTTATTGTTTGTAGGTTTTTTGATGATGGCCATTCTGACCGGTGTGAGATGATATCTCATTGTAGTTTTGATTTGCATTTCTGTAATGATTAATGATGTTGAGCATTCTTTCATGTGCTTGTTGGCAATCTGTATATCTTCTTTGGAGAAATGTCTATTTAGGCCTTCTGCCCACTTTTGGATTGGGTTGTTTTTCTGATATTGAGCTGCATGAGCTGCTTGTAAATTTTGGAGATTAATCCTTTGTCAGTTGCTTCATTTGCAAATATTTTCTCCCATTCTGAGGGTTGTCTTTTCGTATTGTTTATGGTTTCCTTTGCTGTGCAAAAGCTTTGAAGTTTCATTAGGTCCCATTTGTTTATTTTTGTTTTTATTTCCATTTCTCTAGGAGGTGGGTCAAAAAGGATCTTGCTGTGCTGTATGTCATAGAGTGTTCTGCCTATGTTTTCCTCTAAGAGTTTGATAGTGTCTGGCCTTACATTTAGGTCTTTAATCCATTTTGAGTTTATTTTTGTGTATGGTGTTAGGGAGTGTTCTAATTTCATACTTTTACATGTACCTGTCCAGTTTTCCCAGCACCACTTACTGAAGAGGCTGTCTTTTCTCCACTGTATATTCTTGCCTCCTTTATCAAAGATAAGGCGACCATATGTGCGTGGGTTTATCTCTGGGCTTTCTATCCTGTTCCCTTGATCTATATTTCTGGTTTTGTGCTGGTACCATACTGTCTTAATTACTGTAGCTTTGTAGTATAGTCTGAAGTCAGGAAGCCTGATTCCTCCAGGTCCATTTTTCGTTCTCAAGATTGCTTTGGCTATTTGGGGTCTTTTGTGTTTCCATACAAATTGTGAAATTTTTTGTTCTAGTTCTGTGAAAAATGCCAGTGGTAGTTTCTACCTCTTTTTTGAATTAGAGTTTTGCTGGATGTAGGAGTTTTGGTTGGCAGTTTTTCTTTTAGCACTGTGAATGTATTAGACCCCTGTCTTCTGGTCTCCAAAGTTTCTGATGAGAAATCTGCTGATAATTTTATTGAGGATCCATAGAATGTGATGGTTTGCTTCTGTCTTGCTTCTTTCAAAATTCTCTCTTTGTCCTGGGTTTTGAAAGTTTAAGTATAGTGTATCAACATGTGTCTGTTTGAGTTCATAAGGTGGAGACTGTTGAGCTTCTTACATGTTTATATTCATGTCTTTCATCAAATTTGGGAGGTTTTCAGTCACTATTTCATCAAATATTATCTCTGCACAATGCCCCCCCCCCACCGCCCGCCTCCCCGCCCCAACCTTCCTGGGACTCCCACAGTGTGTAAGTTCACTGATTCTTCTGTCTGCTCATATCTGCTTTGAATCTCTCTAAGTGAATTCTCATTTCTGTTATTGTACCTTTCAGCTCCAGAATTACTTATTGGTTTCTTTTTTATGTTTTCTGTCTACTGGTATTAACATTTTATTCACACATTATTTCTTTGACTTTCTTCACATCTTTCTTTAGTTCTTTGAGCATCTTTAAGGTAGTTTCTTTTAATGTCTTTGTCTAATCTCTCTGCCATTAATTAGGACTTCAGGAATGGTATCTGGTGATTTATTTCATTCCTTTTAGTGGCCATACTTCCTTGGTTTTTCTCTATGCCTTGTGAGTTTTTGTTGAATTCTGTACATTTGAATCTAATGTGGAAACTCTGGAAATCAGTCTCCCCCTTCCCCAGGGTTTGCTGTTTTTTGTTTACTGTTTTTGTTGTTTTGATTGTCATAGGCTGTCTCTGTACCTCAGATCAGCCTAAGGTGCAATCTTAATGTCTTCTAAGGTCTTTTCTGAACCTTTGCCTAGGCACTTGCAGTCACTTTTTAA